TAATGTCCCGGAACAAACAGCAATATCATACAAAGCAACAGTGTTTCTCTCCCCTCTCTCTCCATTACCAGTTAACCTCCTCGACAAACCCTGGTCTCTGTAAGGCTCTTTCTGCAATACCTACAAGAAAAATACATTAGGAATTACACTTCCAGCTACATTGAAAATGCTGATGGGAATCCATATTTCTTGCTTACTTTTCATTTTCTTTGGCATAAAGCTGCGAGTGGGATTGAAAAACAACATGCGAGGGAAACATTAGGGTAATGGAGAAAGAGATGGGGGCGGAGGTGAGTGGGTGGTGGTCGAAAGGTAAACTTGCAAACCACACTCACAAAACGTTTCCTCAAATTATTTTTCAACTGATGTCACCTTCTTTAATTGTATTCTTGTTTTTTTTAATTCTGAATTTGGAGTGGAGTTTAGAGTATGTTTGTATGTAAGTGTGCCACATTACAGTGTATTCAGAAAGTATTCAGAGCCCTTCACTTTTTTTTTAATTTTGTTATCAGGGTTTTTCCTGCAAAGAAAATTACAAGGCAGCCACTTCAGGTTATTTTCCAACAAGCGTTTCACTCTGTTGATTTCTGTCATTTGTGACTGTAGTTGCGGCAATACGCCAATGCAGTAATGCTGTGTCATAATCAGCACATCATGAAGGGCGCTGCAGAAAAAAAAACTGCAGAAGAAGAGAAGAGGTGCAACTTTCCTCTAGGAATTTCCTACAAAAGGAATATACAGTCCAGACTGTAAGTATTTGGACACTTACACATTTTTTGCTCTTCGGGTTCTATGCTTCAGCTATTTCAATTACAGCCCTTTTAACAAACAGTATCCAAACTGGAAGGGTTCAAAAGTAATTGGACACTTGGATACTTAAATTTTCTTTGGTAGCTGTGTGTTGTTTCAGTATTAGTTCATGCACAAAACAGTTACCATGGTTCTGGATGAGTGGAAGATCCATTTGCATTGTGAAGAAGAACCCATTTATGACTGCAGAGAAAGTCAAGAATGATCTCCAGGATGTAAGTGTCAATATTTCCTTGTCAATGAAGAGAAAACTCTATGACCGTAACCTCAGTTTCACCCTGGTAAGCCTCAAAAACAGAAAGGCCTGGTTGCCAGGTTGAGATTTCATAATTTAGCAAGACAACGATCCTAAACATGCGGCCAAAGTAACCAAAGAGCTTCACAGGGTCAAGAGGTGGAACATTTTTGACTGGCCAAATCAGTCATCTGATCTCAATCCAATTGAGCTGCATTCCATTTGCTGAAGACCAGACTAAACTAAGAGAGGCTCCTCTACAAGCAAGAGGCCTGGGAGAGCATCACCAGTAAAGAGACAAAGTGTCTGCTCTAGTCTATGGGTAGAAGACTTCAGTCATTGACTGCAAAGGATTTTTCACAAAATATTAAATATGGTGATTTTGTTTGAGTTGATGTTTATCTGTCCAATTACTTCATTTTGCATAACTTACAGTTCTTTCTATACTAATGTAAAACTACTCAAATTAAAGTTAAGACTTGGAACTTGTCATCTATTTTATTTCAAACTGAACTTGACTGACAAGCTGGACTGTTGGTGATCTTTTAACATGCTGTGCTACTGTGCTTTTGTTTGCTGTAATAGCACTTTAAGCTGTTTGGAACCAATGTTGGTTCATAAATTTGAGCACTCTCTCTCAAAATGCATCACGACTATATATTTCAGAAATGGATTTTTGAAACTGTATTTCTGACCTCTGCTCCATCTTCAGCAGACCTCAAAAATCTTCTCTGTTTTCTTTGTGGTTATAAACCTAAAGCCAGGCAGTCTGAGTCCGCCTGCAGTAAAACACTCATCTGGGATTAGAAGCCATTTATTCATCTCAGCTCAGTAATACTATGAGAGCCTTGCCTCAGAATCCAATGAATATTTCACACTTTCATTTCATATGCAATCTCTGGTGCTCAGAAGTGTGTATTGCTGGATATCATTCTGTACGGTTTATTTCTCTATGTGTGTGAGTCTCACCATATGTGTGTTTTGGGGAATTAGTTTGTGGCACTGTATTTGATCCCGGTATGAAAATGTGTATTTTGTGGTACACATGTGCGTTTATATTTGGTTTTGAGCTCCAAAGGTATGTTTTGTACAGTTTCACTGAATTCACAGGATGTTAACAAAAAGAGGATACTACTATCCCGTTGGAAGAGCTCAGGACATATTGGAGACAAACGATGCAAAACACCTGTCAATAAATACAGCATATATCTTTATACACACACACACAAACACATGAAGTTACAGTCACTACAACGTCAGCCTCGACATAGAAACCTGCTAAACCAGCTTTACTATTCAAATGATCCAAAGCTTATCTAATCATCACCAGACTGATGTACTTCTCCTTTTCCGACATCAACTGTTCGCTAAATGCTTCCTCAGTCCTGTTCACAATGAAAGGGCAGTGTAGCATTTCGGTCATAGGTCACTGTTCCCCTAAGCTCTCCAGAACGTTTCAGCATCTTTCAGCTGGACATTTTCCTCAGGAGTTGAAGAACACCAAACCAGAGTTAAAAGGAGAGTTAAGGTGGACACAACTGAAAATGAATGCCACAGTTCTGCTGCGCCAATGTGGAAAAAATAAATAAATAAAAAACAAAAATAATCAATGAAGCCTGAAATCATTCAATACTTTTGCCTTTGATAGGTCTGATATGTGAGATTTAGAATTATGCTGTTCCATGTGCTATAAAAACCCTCACTCACTCCACTATAATAGACATTCAATAAATGACTATTGTGAGCAGTAAACTGAGAGTTCAGACACTATCACTGACATCACTGACAGGTGTAGCAAATGAATGTATTGTGTCGCTTGACTGTTAATTTCAAATCTATAAAATATACAGCATTGCATTGTGGGATTGTTAGCAAAAAGTAGTGTATACACCATGGGCACTTCGTATATTTGTTCCATTGTGGAATTTTTGAGGTGACTATAGTGGATAAACATACACAGTCTTCATGCACTCAAATAAAATGTAATTCACTATTTTGCAAATAGGAAATCATTTTGGACACAAACTAAGCTTTAGCCTATAAGATCAAACAATAAATCTTTTTGCAAACCAGAGACTTTGTGGCTATAAAACCAGAGCAGTACACTCCCCATGCTACAGTGACTGTCTGGGGGTGCAACTCCAGACTGTAACACCTCCACATAAAAAATTGACACTACACACTACAAACAAGATCACAGTGACACAGGGCGAGTGGCAACTAGCCAGCTGTGGGTCCAGTGCACGCTGCTCTCTGAATCTCCACAAATCCATGGCAACAGGCTCTCATAATAGCAATCCCTTCGGTCAGGTGCTGGTCTTCTGACTCTGTTATTGCTCCTGTCACTGAGTCATACGGCCCCTGGGCTGAGGTTTACTGTGTCATGTAACCCCCCCCCCCCCAGTTTGAGACATCTGAGAGCTCATCAGGAAAACTCATCCAGCAGAGAAAACAATGAGCTATAAATATTTCTAAAATGTCATGTGGGAATTTGTTTGCTGTGAAGATAGTTCTCAGTCACTTTTCTGCAGGATTTCTGTGTTAACCATGTCAGGCAGAAACACAAAATTAATTTTTCATTTAGCTGTAGCTAGACTCCCAAAGACAAAAATGTCTTGCTTACGAAATGTAACCCTAAAACTCAAGATTTGAACCATGAACCAACAGTGCTTATTTTGACACTAACTGAGGCTTGAGTCCGGGTTAGAGGGAGAGAGTGATCACAGAGTGATCATTTCTTCTCAGAGGCTCTTACAGCCCCAAGAGAAATTGCCAACTAAGGCAACTTTGTTCTTAATTAGTTCAGAGAATCTTCAATAAATCCTGCAGTATTTATACATCCTTAAAGGCATACAGTATGAGCCAAGGACAGGGAAATGTACTGTACATTACATTTTCTAGCCGGTAGGTTCCTCAAGTTTTACTAGCTATGACCTAAATTAAGAATTCAGTTCACCATAGGACATGGACTCATTAAAACACGTTGATGCTGTTTTAATGTGCAGAGCCACCAAGAGAGGGCTCAAGATTCGTTTAAGGTCCTAAGCCATGGTTTAAAAAGCCCTTAATCTGGGCCATTTATCACATTCTAATAATGCCAGAGTCTATGAGAGGGTATGAAAAAACACAAGACTTTCCAAAGGGGAAAATGAAAAATGACACATTCCTCAGGGGAAAAACAAGAAAAACGGGGAATATATGGATTGAGTTTGCAAAGTCTCCAAAAGTGAATTGCTAATGACACTGCCTAACGCTACAGGCAAGTTAAAACCATTTCCCTTTTTGAATTTTGCTTGTGAGGCAATATTCTATCCAAGGGAGTGGCTTATAGGCCACTGCAGCTCAATATTCTATAGTATGAAAGAGTACACACACACACGCACACACAAGATACCCACTCAAACCTTTGTACAAGCACATATACCTTTCTGCACACACTCACAGTTACGTGACTAATTAATAAGTGTAAATCAAAAGGATTATATGCATTATATGTGACGCATCAGGAAGGATTTAAAGGATAAAAATGGTTGACTTAAATACAGTCATTTTGCAAATCTGTGTAGAGAACAAGAGCTGCCTGGCATTTGTCTCTATTCTTCATGGACGGCCTGGCTGGATATTTGGTTAGTAACATGCATGTCTGTATAGTCTGCTGACTGTTGGTCATTCAGGAAACGGGCCATTTTAAACAATGGCTATTAAAGTCTAACCTCTCACGTTTTAGTTCTACTTCATGGGTATTAATTAAGGAGATAAATGTTACACAGCTGTTTGTGGTCAGCTTCAAGTCACATAAAACCACTGAATTGTTCAGTGTCAGTGTTTTTATATTTCAGGAAGTGAAATTAATAGAAAATAAAATAATTTCAACCTTTAATTACATTATCAGACTGAGAGCAGGATCACACAGAAAACACTGAAACACCCCCCCTCCTCTCCGAGAGGTTCTTACCTTGTCCTTGTCTTCTACCAGATCACTGAGAATATCATCAGGGTCCAGAATCCCCCCATCACAGTATTCAACATGGTGAGTCCGAACCAGGAAATCTCCTTCCTATGAAAGAGGACACAACTAATGTCAATAAACAACTTAATATGTGAATAGACCTGTCACCTGCTGATCACTCTCCCTACTAATTCACAGTACATGAACATAACGTCTGTCTAGTTCTAAATGCTCTGTTACTGTCAGTGCCACTATTCATGATCATCAGATTAATCAAGCCAGACGCACATAGGCTTCAATGGTAAATTTGAAAAATGATGATGATACATAGGCTATATATCATATTTATGGTACATGGTGGCATCTGTTGTTACTAAACATTTATTGTAATTTACTGTGACATTTTCTTAATCAGTAATAAGGACTGTGGTCCAACCTGACTTTAGTCCATTCACTTTCTATTTCAAGATGAAAATCCCTGTAAAACAGTCGAGCCTTTTACTTGCTCATTCTGATCTATTTCCTACTGAAACAGGTTACTGGACAAAGTTGTAAAATCAAAAACACAAAACAATGGAAAAAGGCAGTTTCATCTCACAGATCAAGTGCAGAGTGACTGCAGAGTTTAAAAAATCTTGTTGAAATGTTGAATTATTATTAATGCTAACAACAAGATAGCTAAGGTATTTAAGATTTAGTTAATTTAATTCAAAAGGTAAATTTTAAGTCTTTGTATCTTAACTTGTGTTTAACAGCATACATTATGATGTGGACACTTAGGCCAACATTGAAATGTAAATTTGTATTTAATGGAGACTTAAATAGAATAAAGCCAAAGCACAGAGCAACCATACAGGTTTCCTCTACTGGTCACCAACTCCTTCTTTTTGTTTCTCATTTATGCAGCTCTTTCTGTTCGTCTCCCACTCCCTCCCTCCCCTCCCCTCCCCTCCGCTTCCATCTCTGCTCTCTCTTTTGTTTCTTTCATCCACACATTTTCCACATCTTTCCCTCGGTACCTTGTACAGATTACAACTCCAACCTGGCCCTTTCTCTCTCCCTCCTCACTCCCTTTCTCCGCTGTGTTGGGTCTGTGATTAATGACATCAACACCGCACTGGACAGCTGACTACATAGAGCTGGTTGTTGAACAACATATTGAGACAACACACGCATCTGCGCACACAAGCACATGCACACGCACACATACAAAACCACACACAGTCTATGGAGAGGTATGAGTCGAAACACTTCAGAGTGGTGCTCCATTAAATCACTCTTTCAGGGTCAGGTGCTTTTCAAAAACTCCCATCAGGGAGAGTGTCAGATGGAGCACGGCGCACTGTGTCCCTGGATATCACTGCAAGTCTCAATGTCAATGCCAGTTCCTACACTAAACTCAACTCTGTTAGTTTCTTTGTATATTTAGACATTAGATCTGGTTAGAGATGCATCTTGTTTCCTGATTTATTTTAGTACAAATCAACACCAGCAGGGGAAATACCATTAATTTTTAATAACAAAGTGAAACAGTTTCAAGCTGCTTGGCTATACATACTTTTGGTGTCTTATAAGAGTTTTGGACATGCAACTTAACTGTGTTCATTAAGGCAAAAGGCAAATTGTGTTATAGTAAATGTGTATTAGATCTGCTCTGCATATACAGTGGGGACCACTTTCCCATTCATCTGAATAGGAGTGGGCACAGACTTTTGGACCACACTAAACGTCTAAGTCAGTTTTTCTTCCAACTTTTCTTAATGGGTTAGAAATAACAAAAAGTGGAATTTAAACCAGTCAATATTTTAAAATGTACTAAGTGAGTGTGATAAGGCTAGTAGTAATTAGTAAGTGTTATGAGTCATCCTTCACTGCCATCTGGCACCAGCTGATATATGTGAGTAAACTACAAATACTATAAATGCAATTATGCGTTTGCTTACTTGAGATAGAGCATTTATGCCTAGTTAAATATAGACTAGGTCCATAGTTTTTTTTCTATTATGTTAAAAAATATTTCAATGGCTTTACAACCATCACTGTTACACAAGACTGGCTGTTGTCTCTCACTCTTCCGCCCTCTCTTCCTGCTGCTCATTGTATAACTCTATTGTAGCACTGACTTGGCTGAAACCCTGGCCAGATGTATGAGAGAGATTTTCAAACATTGCATTTACATTGTTTTATTTTCTCTTTTGCACAGTGTTTATCTTCCTTGAGCACTATCAATCAGGATTTGGAGGCTTATTAACTCTGGGGAACCACATGTGAATGTTTTGTGATTAGCAGAAGGAAAATTTAGTGTCATGTAAATGTTTTTGTATCTTTTCTGCCCTCGACTTTGCACATAGCATCTGAGTCCATGTTTTACTACCACTCATGCTTCAGAATGACATCTAATAGTTCTATATTCTGTATATACTGCTTTACTGGCAAATTCTCAATCCATCATCCCCATGCAAACAGCAAGTCACAACACAAATAACTAAGACATGATAAACTCCACCATGTTCTAAGTCTTTATAGAGAACAAGACCACAAAGAAGTATTAAGGGTAACATTCTCAATGGTTTGCTTACAGACAACTATTATGTTTGATGTAATAATCCTAAGAAAAATGTCTCTTATGTCAACAAACCCTGCTTTGGTTACCATGTCCACATTAAAGCCTTAGGGTGCTCTAGAGTAAAATGAGTTACGGGCCCCTGCAGTTCACACAGCAGACTATACATTGCGTTTTCATTTCAGTTAATATTGTGTCTTAGGGGTCTATGGTCCCAAACAAATTAGCAATTGATCAAATTACAACAAACCAACTGACAAACCCAGCGCCTCAGGGCCGTTTGCTCGCTTTGCCCCCTTAGTGATATTAATAATCTAGCTCTCGAGCACAATTTTTTCTTTTCTTCTATTTTTTGCGAAGCTGCTGCATTATTGTGTAATAATTATCGTAGTCAAGTAACAAAAAAATATTGATTCCAATTAATAGCCATATTAGTCATTTATCAAGCAAAAACTAAATAAGTTTGCTTCTTACATCACATAATCACAAATGCAAAGTTGTGTGTGTCTCCATTTCATATCATTATAAATCAAACACTTCAGGATCTGTTGCTGTCTATCAAATTAAATTACCGATTTTTCATCACTTTGTGATGCCTTCAATTGTAATGGCCATTTGCTTTTACCACAATGTTATAAATAAATGGCAACAGATTTAGATCTGAAAGTAATTTTTCAAGAAAATGTAGTGAAACAATGTCAAATATTATCTGGGTCAAGGCTCATAAAGAAGAGGATTTCCTGCTTTTATTTGTCATATAATCTAAACCAAGTATTTTCCGGTATTTGGTTGAACAAAACAAGACATTTGAAGACGTCACATACAGCGCTACAAAAATTTTTGACAATTATTTGACATACTAATATAAACTAAATGACAATTAAATCAATTGAAAAAAAAATGGCAATTTTATCAATAATGGAAATAATTACATTATGAAGTATTATTAAATAAGTAAATAATATAAAACATACAGATCAATGATTGGCAAAGTGACAGAAAATTAACAAACAACTATTATGATTATCAATTTTTTTGTAAAACATGCAAAATATTTATTGGTTCAAACTTCTAAATTGTTAGGATTTTTCTTTCCTTTACATCATTGTGAACTGTGCAGATGTGAGCCAAGAGACATGAATCACAATCAGATTGTATGTTTTAATTGCAGCAAGAAAAAACAGTGAATGCAATGATAAAAGGTATTTGAAAAACAACATCCAACATTCCTTTGGTGACCAGCTATTGTTTCTAGGTCAACAACACCCTATGATCTGTTGTTACAGTGGGCAAGTCATATAGCTATTAGCTAAGAAGACAAGATGGAGAGGCAGAGAGATAAGAGCTGTGCGCGCACTCATCAAATCTGATATTCATGGGCTGTGCATGAATAATGTGTTACATATTTTTTGGGAACTGCAGAAACCCTGCACCTCCAAATCTGGGAGTTTAAAAACCTAGAGGGACACTTAGATATTGTAGGACTAAAGATAAGAGTTGTAAACACACTGATCTAATCTGAAAATCAGGGGGATTAGCATTTAATACAGTGTTTTGCTTGATACTAATACAGATAATCTTAGGCAATTTGAGGTATTTGACTCTCAGGACAAGATCTACAAATGAGTTAAAACACTATGTAGATTATTCAGTGTTGTTAGGTATGCGTATACCTCCCCACTGCTCCCCCATTCTTCATCTCTGATCAGGCAGCCTTTCAAGTGTGCCAGCTGACACAATAGTTTGGTATGCATGCTGCTGTCGAACTGAAGGCTGTGTAAAGAAGTGGACCTCGGCACATCGCAAAACAGTGATCCAGGGTTCAATTAAAGCACACTCTGGAGCACCTGCTGTCTACACAAAAAGTGAAAAGGTAGCTGTTTCACACACTCAGAGCTGAATAAAGCAACAGGTTTAACCTGAGGCAAAAATTTAGGTCCTAGGCCAAAACTTAGAGGTCTGGCATTATCATAATTTCAGGTATGCCAATACTATAAAGTATTATTGCTGGAGCCCCTCTGTCTGTCTTGACAAATGCCATTTTGTAGAGACAATGAATACTGACGCACCACCTAATTCTGAGGAAAAATAACAATCTGAGTTACATTGTCCCTTGACCTATCTCATCATCCAGCAGTAACAAAGCTTGTTTTCTTGCCAGTGGCAGTGCCATGGTAACCATTACTCAGCCTGTTAGCATTTCAGCATTCCACATCTCAGATGGGCACAAGCTGATCCTTCACTCATCTTGTCAGGCAAAGTCTGTTTATCTTGATGGTTCAAAATCAGATTTCATTACCATCTTACCTACTAGTCACATTCATAATAATGGGCATGTTAACTTTTTTGTACTGTCTGGTGAGCAATTATCTTTTGATAATTAATATGACACGTTAAATAGTAAAATTTAACAATTTTAGAATGTATTAGCCAGAATAACCCGCATACTATGGCATCCATTCTTGAATGATCTGGCTATATAGCAAGCTTGTCAGGCTTCTGTATAATTTGAAAAAGCATGTGCCATTGTATCTTTCTTGACTTGGGAGAATAGAATAGAATAGAATAAGACTTGAACAGAGCATATCTGAATAGAATGATAAAAGGACAGAACAGAAGTGAACAGAATAGAAGAAGTGTAAGACTGGGTCAACAAAGTCCTGCAGAGAAGGTGGCACGTGTCTCCTCCTTGCCCCTCCCTCCCTCTCAGGAATAATTGCCTGTGCTCTGGCATGAGGCCTGAATGCTTTTACGATTTTATCAGCTTGTTAGACCACGCCTCATCAGCATTCCTCCCCTTGCTAACGAAACTACACCACACCCACATTGGCAGGAACCCTTTCATACACATCCACCTAACAATTTATAAGTGTGAGTATACACATGGGTACTGTACATACACCATCATCTTAAAAAAGCAACTGGTTTTACAGTTGGTTTGTAAACCTTTGGACATATCTGGATTGCACACACAACACATTTAGCATCGACACTGTGTTGAATATGGATGCAGTCTAATAATACATATGCATATACATATACAACTCAAACCACATTACAGTTAAAAAAGTGAATATATACATTGATATACTTATATGATTGTGCAGTTTGATATTACACAGTCATACAACCTCATCCTTAGGAGAGGCTAAACCTGAAACCACATAAACAGGCATCCATAAACACACAACCACACACTTGTCTATTTGGCCAAAGGTAATTAAGAAGTCTGTCAACAAACTGATAACTTCCTGACAACTCCCCACAAAAACAAAACAAAAATGCTTTCCTTCCTCCCGCCTCTCTGTCTGGCCACTCTTCCTCTTCACCCTGCTCTTCAAGTTATCTCCCTTTTTTACATTCATCATCTTTGTTCTGATACCTTCACAGGTTCATTCATTTCCTCTCTGCTGCCTCTCCAGATGAACCTCAAGTATGACTGTTTTATTTTTTCTTTTAATACGACTTTCATTTGCCATTTCCCTACCACAGCTTGTGCTTCGCCTCTATGTCCATCCATCAAGAGTGATACCTCTATATTACAGCTGTCAGTAAGCTAAATACTTATAGATCATGTTTCACTTAGTTGCCTGATGTACTGAGTGAGGTGAGTGACAATTAACCTAATACTGTCACAGTAGCTGAGTGACAGGCCAGTAACTCACAGGCCCTGTTCAGACCTGGCATTAACATGCGTCTTCAGTGATCTGATCACAAGTGGTCAGCTCTTAGTGCCTCAGTTCACAACTGGCTTTAAAATGCGTCTTGAGTGACTACTCGTGATCGGATCTCACTTCCCTGCTTTATGTGCAAATAAACACGTATGCGTTGTTGTTTTTAGCCAATCCGACATACAGGTCCATTGTCAATGTGCTTGTTTGTATGTGTGAGTGAGAGAGAACGAGAGAAAGAGAGAGAGTGGGGCATGGAGGGGTTGAGCGAATCATTGTAATAGTAGAGTAGTAAAATATTTTCGGTTCATTATGAAACTGTGTTGGGACTAATCAGACTGTGGCAGAGGACATGAGTAGAGTAGGCGGTCCATCAATGTGGCCCAGGACACATTTGCGTTCACACTGCTAAAAGAATATGGACATGTGGCCCAGACCACCTCCGAATGTGGTCTTAGGGATCAGATCTCAAATGTGTCCTCATTGCATCTCAGGCACTTTCACGCCTCTACTGAGAGCTGACCAACTGTGGGATGGGATCAACCAAGACGGATGTTAATGCCAAGTTTGAACAGGGAGACAAAGTAATCCAAGAAGGAACTTAAAAATTTCAGCAGCACACATTCAACTTTCAGCTTGAGGCGCAGTTAGATTAGTACATACATATGATCCACAGCTTGTAGCAGTAAGGTTTATGTTTTAAATTGTTAATAAGCACCTTAAATATATTACCATCTGTAGTGTATACAAAGTGTTTTAGCTAAATTCAACATGATGTTTACATAATAGCATCAGTCACTGAGCTATGAGTGTATGTCCGAAACAGTATATAGCATATCATAAAGTGAGACTGAAGTTTCCACCGAGAACAGCTTTACATGAGCTGGGAGTCTACAAAATACTTATAAGAGACTTTTCTATGCATTAGTATAACAGAGGTCTGGTGTATTCTACATACCAAAACATCAGCACTTTCTTACTGCCATTCACTCTCTAATCCTGTTTGTCTCCCCTATCCCCCCTTTGGTTCCATACTGGGCAACACAAAAGGTAGTAGAAATTCTAATAATTAGGCTGTGATCAATGTGAAACTGAAATCTAAAAAAAAAAAATGCAACTAAAATACAAAATCCTCTCTAGAACTCTTAAGCTGAAGACTATACCTCAAAGATCCCCAACTCCTTTTAAGATCACTAAAATGTAGCTTTAATGCCTATTTTCAGTGTTAGCTCCGCCTTAGCAGCACTGTGGGAACTCTTCACAAAGCAGCTGATACTGTTAGTTAGCTACAGTGGTTGCAGGCTGGAACACGCAAGATAATAAAATGTTTTTAATACAAGCAGCAAGTAGGATGGAGCAGATACAGAGGAAGGGGAGAGGGAGGGAGGAAGGGAAGAGGGAGGGAGGGGAGCAGGAGAGAGAGAGACAGAAAGTGACCTGTCTATGTGACAATTTAAAAACATGATTTGCCTAGCACTGGGAGGATTAGCGACTGGACAGCTCTATAAAATACACATATCCTGGTTTTCTAATCTTGAAACACACTAACAGCCATAATTATGCAGCTACAGCAACAGATTAGTGTTGCAGTAAAAAGACTGTGTGATGGGAAGAAAGGAAGAATAATACACATAGAAACAAATATAAAGGAAGAAGAAGGGATGAAAGGAAGCAATTAAGGAGATGAGGAACAAGAGAGGAGTAAGATAAAAGTGAACACAAACAAAAAAGATAATTTTTCTTTTCTTTTTTTTTATATTTTATGGGCATTTTTGCCTTTATTTTTGATAGTACGGTGACAGATAGATAGGAAAGTCAGGGAGAGAGAAAGGGGATGACATGCAGCAAAGAGACATGGATCGAATTCAAACCCATGGCTGCTGCAGTTAGGACTAAGTCCATATGGTACACGCTCTACCAGGTGAGCCAAAAAGGACAATATTCTAAATGCTAAACAACATACAAAGAGAAGAGAAAGAGGCCAAAATGATCAAAAAGTAGGAATAATAACAATAAAGGTAAAATAAAATAAAAAAAAACTGAGGAATGTGAAGGTAGTAAGAGGAGAGATTGAGAAATGCTGACAAAGGTGTGGGAAGAGAGAAAGAAAACAGAGAGCGAGGAAAAGATAAAGAAGAAGAGCCGTGGGAGAGCAGGCCAAAACACACACAGTGTGCATGTGCTTAACAAGGCATTTCATTCACACAGACAGGAAACAAAGTATTTAAACACTGAGAGACCTAATCGATAGAGCAGGAGGTGCATCATTACACACATTGCAGCTGCAGGAAAACACTCTGGAGCTCTCACTCTGTCTCTCAGTGAACATTAATAACACCTCATATTTTGCCGCATTTGTGTAAAAGTTACTGCAAAATGGCATGTGCCAACACTTGCTGGATCGCCCTTAAATTTTAAATTTGAACACTTCAACTTGGACCTATATCGGTATACATTGCTCCTGCTTATACCCAGTTCTACATGGTATTAGAATAGACGCTTCTCATAAAGAAGGAACAGAAGGTGTAGGAGGAAGTGTTCAAAGAGGAAGAAGAGTTCAAATAGCAGTAGCGAGGGTTCCTGATATGTGGAGAGCTATGAGGGAGGTGAAGAGGAGATGCAGCAGTGAGAAGAAAAGGCTGATAACTAAGATGAGGGGGGCAGAACACACAGGAGCACTGAGTGGGGAGGGGTGCGGGTAGATGAAAGGAGATTAAGAGGCTAAAAAGGTAGAGAGACCAAGAAAAAGAGGAGGATGGAAATAATAAGTGCTGTCTCTGTGTCTGTCTCACATAAACACAAACATACACACACAGCTCCAACATCTATCCCTCAATCACAACTCAGGCCATCTATCTATATGACTAGCGTGCTCTTTGAATAATGGAGCCAATATGAAGCGAGTCACTGAGAAGATTTGGTCGTCTGATGGGGGTCACAGGGTTCCCGTCCTAAGAGCAACGCAGGGAATCAACAGCAGTCATAAAGGAATCACAAGAGGAGGAGATTTACATTTTACACTCAGAACTAAAGTGGAAACGACTCATGCCTGCTCCCGTCTGGACCATCACAGTTCATATCAGACATGCTTTTAATTTTTCATACAGAAATTATGAACTGGACCTCCTGGCTTTATCTAATTTCCCAAGACTTTGGGATGTGAAAATCATATGGTCCTTTCATGATATAAAAATGACAGAGCTTTCGATTATTCTTTTATGACTTCAGGGAAAACCTCAAATATTATGAAAGTACTGTTTCATAAAAAGTTATCTTGCCTCTTTCCTAAGTCTTTCAGGAGTTCATGAAAATCTTTTCACATTATTACAAAACTACTTCTTACAATTAATAATGTAGCTAACCGGTGACTTGAAGGTCAGGAAGACTCAATGAGAGATAGAATTAAATTTATTCATGCTTTTGTTCATGTTCTTGAGCACACTGGACTATCTGGTATCAATGACAATGAAATGTTATTCTACAACTATAATTACTGCCACACAAAGTTTAACAAATGAGCAGCACTTAAATGAAGAAAACACCCACCATAACCACCTTGTAAGGTCATGTGTACAAGGTGAGCTAATTTTGAGATGGACCTGTTGTACATATTTAGGAAACAACAACATTTGAATCCTTCAAATTAATATTTGTGTATTGTGCAAAGAACTGTTTAAAAACAATAATGATAAACACCTCTGCCTGGATTTAGAGCAGCTGCACCACAACACACAGTCCTATGTCACAACATTGCCTGTCATGAGAGGCTAATTTTAACCATTTCAGCTTCTGACCGGTACCTGTTCCAGGAGTTTTCTGTATCTCTGCGTGGCTTGCTGAATGAGGTCCCTCACGGTCCAACCCTCCTTGCAGGGCACCACCACACCTGTCTGCCCAAACGTCACTGTCACCTTCATTATAGCACTCTCCGCTTCATCCAAGATGAGGGCTCTCTGGTTATGAGTGATGAACAATGGTGATAATGTTGCAGGAAGGCTCCAAATTGCAGAATGCCCCCCAGAAAGTCTTGGTATGGAGGCAGGGATGTGACCAACCAGAAAAAGTGAGATAAAAAATGGGGGGAGAAAATCAGTGAGTGGTTTGGGGTCAAAAAATGAAGACATTTGCATCCAATTAAACTCAACACTCAAAACAGTTTCCTCAAGTCACACAGTGTCAGCTTGTCACAGAGTGGTCACAGAGTCTTAAGATTGTTATTGTCTGTCCATGCCATGTCAACCAAAATAAACAACAAAAACACAAAGTGATTATAATGCCAGTATGCCACTACATACATTACGTTAGAAGCACAGCAGTCTCTTCATGCTACAGTTGCATTGTAGGTGGTAAACGAAAAGAGTGCGTGTTATGTCATTTCTCACTGAGAGTTGACTAACTTTGGTTTAACTTTACCTGACAGAGGAACGCTAGCTGTCTGGCAGCTAGCTACAGTTGGCTAAAAGTGATTAGCTTGACAATGTAACCTGGCCTGGCTAAGAGAGCGAGCCAAGGAAAAAAGCATTCACTTTGCCACAAGCGTAACATATCATCACGCCCTTCCCCGTTACATCAGGTGATATGCTGCATCTTATTTGGACAAACATAAAAATGTATGTCAAAACTTTAACACAAAGTAAGCGAGCACCGCTAGCTAACGTTAGCCACCTTAGCTGAACTTTGGAGGGAGGGATGCAGTCGCTGGGGCATCATTCCAGAAGTTTTCCCTCTCGCAAGTTTCCCTTTTTCCAAGCGGTCAGTAGCATCCACTTCATCATCGATACTCAAAGTATGGCAACGTAGAGGTTGTTTTCATGTTCGGGGGCAAACTGGAGCCGATGTTAAACAATAAACAGACCACTTCAATGTGTGTTGGAAAAGTTTTGAGATGCCTCCAGTGCCGTCCGCTCCTGGCCAGTTCCTGACCAGCTCCTCCACCGCTTGTTGCTGTCACTTTCTTAAAGGAGAACTGCTCCAATTATTGCAAAGAGATAATGCACAATTCATGGATCCACATCACAGTTAGTGCCCAAACAGTAAGATATGATGTGAAGGGGGAAAGAAAAACTAGTGAAAACTGACAGAAGGTGATATGAATTCATTTATTGGGATAACTGCAGCGGTGGAAATCATACTTCAAACCTTTAACTGAAATAGCAGTAATGGTGTTGCTCTTAAAATGATTTAAGATGAATGAATCACATATACACACAGGTTAGATTCTATGAGTTTTGTATTTTTCCATGTAAAACCTGTTCCTAAAAGGTACTAGGTCATATAGCATTATACAAACTCCAAGCTGTCAGCCAAGCTTGCATGACATCAATATAATAGCCTCTGCCTCTGAGATTTTTACTTTTCTGCTCTATGCAGTACACTAATTATAATTAATTTACTTTAGTTATTTATTAATTACTTAATAGTTTGTATAAGGTCATTATGGAACATTTATTTTTATGTTGTCACTTAGACACACCCCACTTTTATTCAGTTTATTTGTGACTGAATTCTAGTGTTTGGTTAATGTATTAAATGTGTTAGCTACTTCAAATAATCCAGATATATTTTTTAAAAAATCCAATATATTTTAACCAAAATAATGTAGAAAAAACATAAACAGCTGGAGGTCTGACTGAATTGCAATAATTATAAATGTTATTAGTAGTAGTAGTAGTAGTAATAGATTATGTTTTACCTTTGTAAAACTAGAGTTGGCATGCACCCAGTGTGAGTGTATTTTTATGGTATACTTAAATGTCAAAGACATAATATTAAGGGATACAGTAGACATCAAGTTTGGCCATGCAAAAAAACTTAATCAAACCCTTTGAATGTCTTCTGCTGGTTGGCACTAGTTCAGCATTATAATGTTGAAGCCAACAAAAATACTGTACTTACAAAACATTTTGGCTTTTCGCAGTTTGGTTCATCTTCAAAGAGGAAACCCCTCCCTGTGAGGTGGAGTTTGGCTTTGTAATTAGCAGCTCAAATGTATGCATGTGTATGTCTGCTAATTGATTTGGGCTAGGTTTAGTTTCTGGGTCACTGAATTCCATTGCTACTAATGAACCCCAAGGGAGGATGAACGTTGTGCATGCATGCATTTTTTTTCTTCTTTCTTTCTTTGGCAAAAGTTTGAAAGTTGGAGGTACACTTGAATAATCATTTAGGATGTAAATTGTGAAATGTTTAATTTAAAGGGGAAGTAGAAGTAAGAGGAAAAGCCACATCTTTTTTCATTACACTACCACAATACACTGTAAATATAATAATTCAAGATTAAAGGACTGACAGTTAGTTGGTTTAATAGCATTCTATTCAATTCGTTTCAATGTGTGACATGTGATATGTCATCATCAATTCAAACTTGATTTGTAAGACATTGCTTATGTCCCCAACACTGCCAGTATTTCATGAGGACTTTTTTTACATGTCACATGTAAATTACATTAAAGATGCATGGCTCAATTCAATTTTAGCTGCTTCAGTTTCTAAATCCTGGTATTGTGTGGGCTCACTGTCACACTGTCATGACTTACTGGGACTCTTGAATAGAACAGAGCCATCATTAATGTAGGTAACACCCGTGCTTTTCCTGCTACGATTAGTCAAAATGTCTGCTGTGTAAAAAGCCTATGACTGAGGCCATATCCACACAACAGTGAATAAATCTTGTGTTGTGTCACGTCTAAGGGTGGCCAAGACACAACATGAAAAGGATCCATTCTTTCTCAGTCCCAAACAGAGCTTGCAATTATGGAAAATTAACAATGTTTTATTTAAAATATGATAATACATAGATGGACCTAAGACTGACTTCACAACATATCAAACAAAACAGGATTAACAAAACCTATAAACTCAAGAGGTGCAAAGCAGCATGGCACAGAATGCATCTTACAATCACAGTTATAATACAAACAAGTGGCTATAGTTGGAAGAACAAGGAGATGAGTACAGCTGCAGCACCATATTGGCTCCTTATGTAGTTTGCTGATATTAGGAAGGAGCCAGTGGCTGGTAGACCATTTACAAATTTACATTACATAGCCTACTACTATGGTTGCAGCACTAGAAAAAAGCAATCTGACAGATCTAGGCTCCAATAGCAACAGCATCTTGAAACTTAAAAAATGATTTAGATTTAAAATTTAAAATGCACCTAACTGTTGAGCCATGACACACGCACAGTATTTGACTTTCTTTAGCTGACCCCTACACACAACCTTAGCCCAGCTGTCAACAAAGGTTCCCCACATTCTTTTCATTCACAGAGATACACACCCTTGTATTCAAACCTTGCACAGTTGATCCATATGGTTGCTCATTCCCTCTCCTCACCCCATATGCTAACCTCAGCAGTGTTCTGTGTCGTGCCTCCTCCATTACGAGCCGTTATGAACCACAGCGAACATGCTAGGATGTGAATGCTCCCCTGCTGTTGGGCCAGGTGCAACCATACAAGGTGCAAACAAATCAATGAGTGGTAGAACATGTTCTGCTTTAAAAAAAAAAAAGAAAAAAGAAAAAAGAAAAAAGAAAAATGTAAAAGCCGGTATAACACACACACACATATAGGGCACATGTATAGTACATGGACAAATCATCTTTTGTCCTTCATTCAGTCTCTCTATCACCCCCTACTACTGAAATAACATTGATTACTAATGTTGAAGATCGCGTCTCTCTATTTTCCACATGTCACCCATGTTTCTAAATTACCCCAAGCAGCCTCAGATCGATGTATTACTAGAAGGCTTTCAGAGGTTAGATGGACAGAGAGGCACATCTGGCATAAGACAACAGGGGGCCACCCACAAACCCACTCATTCTCCAATTATAATTCCAGGGCAACCATTTGGCTCGATGTTGATGTATTATACTCCTGTCTTTGAGGTTTGTATTGGACCAAACAGGCTTTCTCTGAATTCACTTGAGAATGAGACCTTTATTCAAGTTTTTGTTGAACCAAAAAAGCTTTAAGCCACTACATGCTACTGGCTCACCAAAAACAAAAAAAAAATGTAAAACTATCTGGTGAACACATGTGGAGCATTTAGCAGCTAAATAGCCAACTATTTCCCTAAGGAGCTGCCAGAGACCAAGATAAAGTTAAAAAGGAGACACACCAGGTGGCTCGAAAATGACTCTCAATGAATCTCGCTCCATTTTTGCTGGACGTCTAAATAAGCAAAACACATTCTGAACACATTCACCATAAGAAATTTATAAGGTGATGATATGTCAATGTTATTTGTGCAGCTTGTAAAGTTGCATTATCTCTGTTTTTCAGTTGCGCAGCGAGGCAATCTGGGGTACAAAAAGCACAATATTTTAATGTGGAATCAATTTTAGTTTATTTGTGTCATATTTGCATTTGGACACCACTGTGGAGAGACAGGAAACCAGAAAAAGAGATATTGATAACACAAGTGTACCAGGATGGATTCCAACCCAGGGCGTTCATGGTTACGCCATCAACTTCTGGCTCCATTAGGACACCCCCTTTTTGCATTTGTGAAAAACAAAGGTTAGTAATGCCTCTACCAGCACCACATGAACTATGTAATCAGCTCTCTATAATGTAGGTGTTATCAGATCTTAGTTATACAGTCCCAGGCACCCCTCTATCATTGTGATCATATTACCCATAGAAAGTCTTTATGAAGCTAAGATCCATTATGTAAACAGGATGCACTGAATATCAGTTGACAAAAGAAAAAACTTATATTGTAAATGGCATTTTTATATGAGAAAAAAATTGTCCTACATCATGTGTGGAATTATAAATCTCCAAAACTCATCAATAAAGTATATCAACTAAATGAATCCAGCCCAGACACAGTGCCATGCCCTGGTACTCGACATGTTATATGTCACTGAAAGAACTGAAAGATTTTTCCAGCACCCTGCAGACTGTCAATAGGTCTGAGATACACACACATACACACACACACGCACACACACACACACACACACACACACACACACACACACACACACACACACACACACACACACACACACACACACACACAAAACAATAATAGTAGCCTTGTCGATCATCCCTTGTCCCTGCAGAGATGTTCAATGTGTCACATACAGTATGCATCATAGCCTCACTACTATCCAGGGTAGAGGGAAAACTATTTATGGCTCCACTGGGAATGCTGGACTTATATTGAATGGATGAATGAAAATTGGAAAACGCTATGGAAATCTGCACTGAGTTAAACATGTTTACCTGATGTGTTTATTTTCCTCAATGCAATGCATATGTTTTATTTTGAAAGGTATTTACATTTGATTTTAAACAGATTCTACATCATTCTACATGTGGGGAAGGATAACTGTAACTGCGAGGAGTGCAGTGATTTAGGTTTTAGTGATGAAGAAGTGATTTAAGTTTATGTGACTCCATTAAAATAATTTAAGTTTTCATGAATTTGTGAGATTAAACTAATAACTCTACTTTTTAACTTACAATCTATAGAGTATAGTCTTTCGTTCTTTTTCTTTCCATTTTAAATGGAAACATTTCAGAATAATTTAAGGATCAGTTTTATTTGTGTGCTACAGATTTGAAAATGCTCTTTTAAATGCTGATGTACATGCTAATGTTACGCATTGGACTGGTGGACATATAGTATTTTAGTCTTTGAGTGTTTCTTCTTTCTCTGGGAGAGAGTGGTACAGTACAGATTGTAATTCCCAATTGTTAGGTTTTCATGTAAGAAGAGCATATAACACCTGGGTCTGAGATGTACCTGACTACTGGCTCTCAACTTGATTAGACTGTGGTAGAAAAGATGTGCATGGACAATGTGAAGTCACACGTGAAAAAATAATTGACAGGTTGTAGAACGTTCATGAAGAAAACAAAACAATGTCTAAAATTTCATTGTGGAAAACAACAAA